TTATTTAAGCTTCTTCTACTACTTGCTGCCTGTCCTTGTCTATTCTGAGGTGTTTGTGCTGGAAGTTTCCAGGTTCTTGAATTGGAAGAAATGTGGTCAAATGTACTACCTTATCTAGAAAGTGAATAATACCCTATAGCATGTGCCCATTTCTTGTTTTCAGTGAAAGAAGATTGGAATGTGAGAATCGCAAAACTCAGAAAGCAAGTAGAAGAGATATTTAATACAAAATTTGGTAAGTTAAATATTAAATTAACTGTTATAATATAGTGTTGCTTTGATTAAAACTCTGCTATAGAAGAATTGTAAATTTTACATTTACATGTATGTAAGATTAAAAATGTGCTAGAACAAGAGAAAGGAAATATTGACTCTTCTTACCGACTTCTTGCTGACTCTTCCCTCTAACTGGCTTAATGATTTTTAATTTTTTTAATTTTAGGATAGGTATAGTGGTATGTGTACAAAAGGACTTAGGATCAAAGAACTTCTTAGTGCTGGAAATACTAGATTCTGCAGATTTAGATAGCTGTAAGGAGACTATAACATGATGGGCAAAGCTCCCCTTTGCAGTGATTCTACAGAAAGTGGTAGAAAACCTGTTGAAATGTTTCTTGGGTTTTTTTGTTCTCTGAGTAGAAGAGCTTCTTAAAATCATTTAATATAAAAAACCACCCATTTGAGTGTGTAAACTATCATTAAATCTTTATTTTCAGCCCAAGCTCTGGGGCTTTCAGAGGCAGTGAAAGTTCCCTATCCTGTATTTGAATCATACCCAGAGCACTTGTACGTCGAAGGCTTCCCAGAAGGAATCCCCTTCCGGAGTCCCATGTGGTTTGGAATTCCACGCCTTGAAAAAATTATCCGTGAGAGTGGCAAAATCAAATTTGTTGTTAAAAAGTATGTTTGTGATTCAGTTATTTCTACTCCTGTTTTTGAAATTATTTGATTTTCTGCTTGGCAATTTTAAGTTTTAAATGCAACAGAAATTCTGTTTACATGAAACAGAAAGACAGCTTCGCGTATGTTTTATCTCATGAAGGGATATGCCCTCCTTAGAAACTTAAATAAATGCATATTTTTAGTTCACAAAAAGGCCCTGTACCTGGAAGCTTTTCTTCTTCTTCGCCCCCACTCCCCCCCCGCCCCCTCCCCCCCGAGTAAAAACTTGGAAAAAAACAGAAGTATAATAAAAAACTTAATGTTTTCTAATTTCTTCGGGTTATAGTACATAGTGAGTCACCCTTCTTCTAGTAGGAATTTATAAGCAGCTGATATTATGTAAATTTGAACTCTTCTGAATTCCAATAAATATGTAGTATTATGCTGTATTTTTCCTGCGTCTGGGATTGATTGAATTGTATTCTGTTCAACTTTCAGGCCTGAGCTTGTCACTTCCTTTTTGCCTCCAGGATTGGCTAGTAAAATAAATACTAAAGGTAAATGCTTAAGTGTTATTTGCTACTGCCACTTCATAAATACTTTCTGCTTTCTTAGCAGACTTACTTTTTTTTACAGTTTGAAAATACAGACTTTGCAGATAAATGGCATTACTTAAGATGAACTTGCACAGTAGCCTCTAAACTAACTATTCCCCAAAACATTTACTCAAAACTTTTTTTTTGAATTTTTTAACTTGCCACTATTCAAATAAAGAATAGTGAATTTTTACAATTTCTACAACTCTTATTTTGCTTACTGAAAGCATGACTTAGCTTACCTGTGAACTGAAGTAATTAACGATTCAGTTTCTTAAGGAAATAACAAAGAAGTCCTTTAAAATTCGCTGTCATAATCATGAGGTTATTAACTTCTAAATCTTTTAGATAATAAAAGGTACTAAGGCTGCCCCTTAAATGTCTTCTGTTCTAAATTAAGGGGGTGCAAATTCGAGGGAGTGTGATACCTGTCTGTCTGATGAACTCTAAAAGCACTTAGGAAGTCTGTGAACTTCACTGTGTTGGTCAGGTTTTTCAGTGCAGACTACACTGAGCACAGGCACAAGTTATTCAGTTTGGTGCAATTTTCAGAATGCAGGTGGTTTTGTTGGCTATGCAGGATATATTCCATAGAAAGTGTGTTCATTACAGCTTGTTTTACATTGTTTTTTAGCAATGAATCCAAAGAGTACAAAAAGATTGCAAAGTCCTGCAAGCAATCCAAAGGTCCCAGAGGTTGTAGTTACTGTTGGAGAAGGTATGGAACAAATATTTATAAATGCTGTTTTAGTGTAAAAAGGTCTCAAACCCCACAGTTAACATACCAGTTCTAATCTTCACCTCATATAGCAGACTTCATTTCAGGACTCCAGATACACTCCAGCTTAGATAACAGTTTTGCTTGTCCTTTTTGAATAATACTGGATTCTGAGAAAGTAGTGGTTGTGACTGCTTTCTTGGGCCTTTTATTCCAAGTAGTGATACAGGTATGACTAAAGTCCTGAGCAGAGAATGAGGGATATGAGCAATACTATGATATACTTAAATTCAACCCTGAAAAAAAAGTCAAGATTTTCATTGCATTCTTAATGCAGCACAGTTCTTTCTATTGGTATGGTGTATTATCCTTTTCATATGATGGATTGTTTCTGCTGTCTGCATGTATGTATATAATGTGTTTCTACAGGTCCCAATAAACCACAAACAACAGCTGTTCAAACTAATTCTCAAACCAATGGATCCAATATGTGTTTCAAGCCACGAGGAAGAGAATTTTCCTTTGGTAAATACTTACGTGATTTAGCATGCATATGTTCTATTAATGTCATCATTGACAATTTTGGCATTTTTAATATGAGAAATTCCTTGCATTTATGTTTTATTCTACAGTTAGAGAATGATGGAAGTTCTTGTTTTCATCCACATTCAGTTCTCCATCATTTAGAACAATGTGCACTTGGCCCCTATACTCATAAAAGAATTCCTTACTCATATTTCTATGCAGTTTGCAGACTGATTGCCATTTTGCTTATTTTCATTTCATAATAATCTGTTAGCAAGCATAATAAGTCATTTATTAAACATTTATAAAAAACATTATTTGAAGATAGATTAATTTTGTGAATGATTTACTGCTTTCCATTTTCTCCCGTCAGAGGCTTGGAATGCCAAAATCACCGACCTAAAGCAGAAAGTTGAAAATCTTTTTAGTGAAAAATGTGGTAAGTTTACCAATTCCTTTATCAAGATGCCTTTCTTATAAATGTACTGTTAGACGTATCATGGATGTGTTCATATACTTACTTTGAAAATTTTACAATCCTTGCATAGTGTAGGCTGTGTTCTCTCATTCTTACATAATTTGCTTATAGTTCTGTGTCAAATTTCCACTTACTTTATATGGCCTTGGAAATGGAGAAGCTATGGTTTGATTTCTACTTTTTTAATGACCCAGTTGTTGCACGTGTTGGCACATTTCTAAGCATTCTTCATTCTACTTAGGAATGAGAATTTACATTATTTCAGCTGCTGCATGACTCCATTCATCATGGATGGTACCTGGAGGAACATGTAACCCATCATATTCAGTCTCTTTCTACAGCAAACTGTTTGGAAATTAAGGGCTTTATTACATACAGTTGATACCTGATATGTTTTGCTTGTAAACACATCAGTGGTCTAGCTGTAGCTTATTTGCTGTGTTGCATTTCAGGGGAAGCACTGGGGCTGACTGAACCAGTGAAGGTCCCTTTTGCATTATTTGAATCCTACCCAGAAGATTTCTTTGTGGAGGGCCTACCAGAGGGAGTGCCATTCCGTCGACCTTCTACCTTTGGAATTCCACGACTAGAGAAGATCCTGAGAAACAAATCTAAGATTAAATTCATTATTAAAAAGTAAGGCCCCCATATGTCTCTGACAATTTATTCTATTAAAGCTGAACTGCAGCCTGAGAAATAAAATTCATTTGGTGAATTGCTAAATTTCTTTAGTCTAAAATACACACTGGAATATTTCTGGTAACCCAGGAAATGTGCAGAAAGCATTTATGTATGAGGAGCAAAGGTATACTGATTTGTTGTTCAAAAAGATAGTTACAAGCTATGTAGTAGGGAAGAGCTGATCCAGATTTTGAAGTTCATTTCAGTTAGCAGCACGTCACTCTTAATTCCTATTATGTGGAACTGCTGTAGGCTACACTTAGCTAAAATTTGACAGCACTATATTAAGGACAGAGAAGGGTAAATTCATATGCTTGGAGTTGTAAGAACTGATTTGTCTCAACTAGAATAGTCTTAAACATCTGCGTTCCAGCATGGATGTAAGATGGCAAGAGAAGTTCTGGAGGTTTAACCACTGTATCGTGGATCATCTGGTCTAGGAGAATGCTGTGTGTACAGAATCAGTTTCTGTCTTTAAAATATCAATATTAGAATATTGCATTTTCTTAATTGTTGATGAAATGAATGTAATTTTGCTGTTGTGCATGAAAAATTCAATCTGTTTGCTTGCAGGCCCGAGGTGTTTGAGGCAACACTTAAGGAAAATTCTGCTAGAAGCCCCCAAAGTGAGTTTTATGTCTGCTTAGTATTCTAGATAATAATCTCTTTCAAGGATTAAAACCAGATGAGAAGTGCTGTTTGGTGTTAATAAACTCCTGAAAAATTCATTCTATATTGTGATTGATTTGGCTTTTCCTTTAGAAGAAAGGAGAATGTTACTGGGCTGAATTTGAGGCACAATCTTAAGTGCTGTGCGACCATCCCATATCTGTAGGAGATCTCTCCACTTTCAGGACTATAACACTACTACATTTTTTTTTTTTTTGTCTTCTGCATAGTTCCCTAACTCTTGTATTATTCCGTCTTCTGCCAGGTCTTTCTGGCTTTCTGAGCAGCTGTTTGTAATTGAACCCTTTGTAACAGTATTCCACACACTGCTTATGTTTTGGATAGCTGTTAGTGTTTTCACTCTAATGAAAGAAAGTGATATATCAAAAATCATCGTCGCTTCTGAATTACACCCATGAGATGAGGAAGGCAGTAACCATTGCTGGTTTGAATATAGAATTTGGCAAGGGATTAAAATTTTTGAGTTATTCACTATATAATCTTCTCTCTGATCTGTTTTACTGTTATCAAAATCTGACAAATAGCGTGTGATCTGCAGAAATAATTGGAGTCTATCAGTGAATTAGTTACTCCTGATGCCTAAGTGATTCTAAGTGAGAAGTGCTCCATAAAATGAGTGATGATAGCCAGTAGAAAATTGTATCAGCAAAAGGCATGTCATGAATTAAATGGAGTCATACTGTTATCCATTATTAAGGTTGGCAAAACTCCACTGAGCTAGTTGAGCTTCGCCAGTTTATGCCCCTGGACAGTGTGACCCATAAATATAACTAAAGGATTTATTTTGTGAATGCATGGAGTGAAAAAACAGATCAGTAGATGTTACTAAATTAACCACAAGTGCTGTGATTTTTTTTCCTCTTCATTAAAAAGAACAAAAAATATCTTGCCTGGTCTTTCATCCTGTTTTTTGAAGTCTTTTTGGAAAACCTGTTTGATGATAATTAACATAAGCTTTAATCTAGTCTTTTCTTAGTATATGGCATTGAAGATTCTGGGCTCTCCACAATTGTCTTTTAAATTCATTTTGTTACATCTAGGAAAAAATAACTGTTCCAATATGGCCATTTCAACAAGCACCACAACCAATGCAGTGGTGAACACAGCTGCAGGTGTTGAAGATCTCAACATCATCCAAGTAACTATACCAGGTATGCATGCTGTCCAGCTACCCAGCTTATCTTTTGTGCTCTTATTTTTGTTTTTTCTGCTGAGTTATTTTCCTAGTAGGATTACTGAAAACCAAAGTAGGTTTCTAGTTGGTTTATTAAAATACAAGTTTGAATAATTTCCATAATTTCAAGTTTGAAGAATTTTAGAGATTTCTTAACAGCCAGGAATTTTTGTTTATTTATGCAATTTTGTGTTAATGATAGAATAAGGAACAGATTTCCTGTTTCAAAACATTTTGGTATGCCTGCTGCAAGTACACACTCACACATTGCTAAATCTTCTGATACTGTTCTATCAATTTCTTTCAGATGATGAAAGCGAGCGATTGTCAAAAGTAGAAAAAGCCAGACAATTGAGAGAGCAAGTAAATGATCTGTTTAGCCGGAAATTTGGTAATTAATTTTTAGACAGATGTTAATGTAACTAATGTTGTTCATGTGATATTACTGAGTTGTTGCTAATGCTGGACAATATGTACAATCATTAAAATGAACAAATATGAGAATTGTGTGTGAATATCGTCTTGACTTCAAAAAGAATCAAAAAGAAGGGATGTGGTTTGCTTGATATTTTAAACAAGGTCCCATACATATAGATTGCTTTATGTTGCTTCTCCCTCTTCCTGTGTAAACATGACTGAAATGTTTATTTTGCTTGCAAACTATGATTCTTCATAAGACTATGTAATTCTGACCTATTAATATTCAAGACTGGATTATTTTTTAAAATCTAACTTATTTTTTTCCTGTATGTATTTTTTATTTATTTTACTGTATATTTGCATTGGACACCAATAAAAACTTAGTGAGATTCTTTATCTAGAATTCCTTTTCTAGTGCTGTGTGTGCATTTTTGTGTGCGTTACAGGAAGTGCTGTGTTTTCCTTTCTTATAGTTATTTTCTTAGATAGCCTGTTCTTTTTTAGTAAAAGCAGAATCTTGGTCCTTTTTTATGCTGAACATACTAGAGCTAGAACTAGAGATCTCTTTGTGGTAGTCGTAAGTGCAACCCAAATCTATTTGTTTGAAAAAATAACACTTAATCTACTTGATGATTAAATAGCTATAGTTACAGATTTTGTCTGAGAATTTTTTCCTCAATATTATCATGAATATGTAGACTTGAAAATAAACCTGTCCTAATTTTCTCACACAGGTGAGGCAATTGGTATGAGTTTCCCTATGAAAGTCCCATACAGAAAAATCACCATCAACCCTGGCTGTGTGGTGGTGGACGGAATGCCTCCTGGGGTGGCATTTAAAGCTCCCAGTTATCTTGAAATCAGCTCAATGAGGAAGATTTTGGAATCAGCAGAGTTCATCAAGTTTACTGTCATTCGGTATGTAGTTTTCATTGACTGGATTGTGCACATGTTGTGAGGACACCCCAGTAACTTGTATAAATGGAGACTCGAAAGAACAGAAATTTCAGTGAATCTAGAGGAAGAAGTTGACTGTTTTGGATAACTAAATAGGTCAAATGAAATCCAAATATCCATAGCATGAATGAAGATGTTAACTGTGTAGGACCAAAATTGCCCAAATTGCAATTGCCCAGTTAGGTAGGAGAAAAATCATAGTGTTAGTATTACACATTACAGCAGGCTAAAATTTGAGTTGCCATTTATTCATATTATAAAACACAGTCCTAACACGTAGTGGCCTTGCTGCCCCACAGCCTTGATCAAACTTTGGTTTTGCTTCATACAAGACTGTCCAGTCATCCATGTTGGTTTTTGACAGTGATTAGTGTGTTTGTGGTGATATTGCTAATAATATTAATAAAGTATTGCAGTTGTGTTAAGATGCTGCAAGTAATGTAATATTTCTGATACTTTCTCCATTAAAGTTAATTTATCTACAGTATTTGAACAATTGAATGTTGTCCAATTACAGTATAAGCAAATTTTATAAAGAGATATTTTTGTAGTGAAGCAGAATAGAAAGAAATTAGGAACCACACTAAAAAGAAGGTTAGAAGTTGAAAGCAAAAATGCCTCAACTTTTATAACTCCTCAAATTACAGACCACCTCACAAGAGTTTAAAAGCTTTACTTGCATTAGAGAGAGAAATTTATAAAACGTCATTTTACTAAGACTGAATTCTTTACTCTTAATCTCTAAAAAGTTCAAACCTGATGAAAGAACTCCTGCTCAATCTAAGTTTTAGATTAAGTGGGATGAAGAAGAGGTGATCCCCTTGTTAATTAATCTGTCAGCTGAGACTGAGGGAAGGATTTAGCTCTTTCTGTGCATGTCACTTACAAAATGCTGGACACCAAACCACAGTGCCCAGAAAACCCCGTGGTGGTTCCCTCTGTTCTTGTCTACGTTCTGTTCCTTCTTTCAGGATGACCTCCATTAGGTGAGGCTGTTTTAGGAGTAATAAGTAAATTTTGTGTTCTGTTTTCTGTTTTGCACAGACCGTTTCCAGGACTTGTGATCAACAACCGTAAGTATTTATGAGATAAATGCTTTTTTGTCACTTAGCAAGATTAGTTTCCACATTTTGGCTTTGTAGCAGAGGCTCCACAGCAGCAAGTTCTAAGAGTAACTCTTGTGTGTTCCTATCTCATTAAAATTTCTGACTAAACATGCATGCCCCATTATCACGAGAGCAGAGTGATATACGTACAGAATGGTGTAAGATTAGCACTGACTTTGATATGCAAATGTGAGATAGTAATTTTGTATTTTTTCAGCTGCAGAGCCCCAAAGAGATTTAGGACCCAGACTGAACAACTGACTGGGAGTCTCTAATTTCAGGTTTGGCAGTGGCAGCTAGTAAGCAGGAACTTTCCAGTAGCTGCAGAATCCTGTTCCAGTGAAAAAATCTAGATTCTGCTGAAATAGTAAGAGTTTAGAGAGGCAGAGTGCAACTAGCTGAAGTGGAATTTGGCCATGTTGCTCAAATCTTGTTTGGAAAAATGGTGTCTCTGTATTTTCAGTTGCCTAACATAGTTGTGACCTTGTTTTTTTAGGTCATACTTAAAGAAAAAAAAAAAGCATACAGTTCCTTGGCTCATGTTGTTTCTGAGCCAGTGTGAGATTAGAGAGTCAGAGGCCAAATAATCTAGCGGCACTGGTTTGGCTGTATGGTGATTAAGCTCGAGTGATCTAATGTTCATCCAGACACCAGTGTCTTCCAGTTGATATGCCAACATCTATGAACTGAAGTGTGATGTTTTCTCAGGAATATGTTCTGGTTAATAGCTTTCATTGACCTGCTCATCAGGCCTAGGCACATCTTTGTAGGTGGGGAAGATGTCACTTTGTAGAAGAAACCTTCCAGGCAGATGAAAAGGTTGTAGCATTTCCAGAGAATTGAATTAGGGATGAAAGGATCTACAAAAAAACAACTGTCAGCATGTAATTGGCAATGGGACTAAGGCTAGCTGAGCAAGAACAGCACAGGTGTCTGGTCATCTTCCATCACTGGAATGGGGGAATTGGTCACTGGAACAAGGAATTCTTGTGCATTGTCTGTGTCCATTCATTATGGTCAAGATGAACCGATACTGATAGTGAGGTGAGTTATTGAAAGGCTCTGAGCCTACTGCCTGTAATGCATTATTCTTGTTCTAAAGAACGTATGAGAATTTAGGAGGAAATTTTTAGTGCTTGAAGGCAAGATATGGAATATTATTTCTGTTTAAAACAAAAAAGTGGCTCCATTACAGTGAGTGTAACCTGTTCATGCAACAGTTTTAGAATTTGAATATAATCTGGCATTGAATGTGTGGGACTTGGGACGATTTTGACTGTGAAGCTAAACAGTGATCATATCTGATCTTAGAGCTGATGGAGAAAGCTGAAGCAGAAGCACCACCAGTGGTACCAGCGCCAGCACCAGGCCTCCCAGGTGATGGAGAGCGCAGTACGCATCCTTCCAGAATGGGTAGGCTGTGGGATTCAAGAATATACTGACAGATGGTATTAGCAGTCATGCCTTGGCACTCACCACTGAAGACCTAACAACATTAACCAGAAGTGGTGCCATTTTTTTGAAATCTAGATTATGTGTAAGAAGTTTAAATGTGACTGGTCTTAATATATTCTGTACGAGCACATGCTGTGTTCTGCTAGGAGTCAGTTATGTGCCTACCACAGTGAATCACACTCTGAAGAGGAAATGTTGCTTACTAATTTATAATAAATATTTGACTTTTTAATGTTTTGCTGTAGACTGTATAGCAAGTTACATATCTATAACTCAGGCAAACACATGTGAGTCTGAAGACACTTTTCTGATTCATAGTGTTGAAAATATATGCATATTCACTTGACTATGTACTTTTTCATTTAAGAGGCAGCTGAACCAGGCCCAATAGCAATGTCTGTGGGAGGTGAGTCTTTGTGTTCAGTTACTATCAACAAGTCTTTTTAAATTATTTTGAACAAAGCTACATCCTTTTTGAAAGGAAGATGGTCAATCAAAACAAACAAAAAAGCGACTTCTTGGTTCCCAGGAAGTGTTTTCATCTCTATTAGTATCATACTATAACAAGTTAAAAAAAAATCTCTGAATCAAAAGTTATTCAAATAATCTTACGAAAGAGTTTTATGAGTTGTTATTCTTGGGTGGTGAATCATGGCTATATATAGAGTTTGAGTGATTGTTCATATCCTAAGTGATGCATCTAGCTATTAAGAGCAGTGGTTTCCACAACTTGTGCAACTGAATGATTGGTATTTTCAGGAAACTTCAATGACATATTGATCCAAATTTACTGAGGGTTTGTCAGGAGAGAGGATATTGCTGTTCTTCCAGAATTTGAGCTCTGAAAAATATCACAGAATCCCAGAAGGGTTGAGGTTGGCAGGGACCTCTAGAGATCATCTAGTCCAGCCCCCTGCTCCAGCAGGGACACCCAGAGCACGGGGCACAGGGCGGCATCCAGGTGGGTTTGAAGATCTCCGGAGAAGGAGCCTCCACGGCCTCTATGGGCAGCCTGTGCCAGGGCTCTGGCACCCTCACAGGAAAGAGGTTCTTCCTCCCATGGAGATGGAACTTCCTGTATTTCAACTTCTACTCTTGTCCTATCACTGGCCACCACTGAAAAGAGTTTGGCCCCATCCTCCCTACATTCTCCCCTCAGGTACTTATACATATTGATCAGATCTCCTCTCAGTCTTCTCCAGACTCACCAGGCCAACCAGGCCCAGCTTGCCTAGTCTTTGCTCATAAGATAGATGGTCCAGTCCCTTCATCATCTTTGTCGCTCTCTGCTGGACCCCCTCTAGAAGCTCAATGTCCTTCTTGTCCCGGGGAGCCCAGAACTGCCCCCAATGCTCCAGTCCCCTCCCTGGCCCTGCTGCCAACCCTCCTGCTGCAGCCAGGAGCCCATTGGCCTTCTTGGCCACGAGGGCACATTGCTGACTCATGGTCAACTTGTTGTCAAGCAGGACTCCCAAATCCCTCTCTAGGGAGCTGCTTTCCAGCAGGTCAACCCCTAATCTGTCCTGGTGCCTGGGGTTATTTCTCCCCAGGTGCAGGACCCTGCGCTTGCCCTTGTTGAACCTCACGAGGTTCCTCTCTGCCCAACTCTTCATCCTGTCCAGGTCCCTCTGAATGGCAGCGCAGCCCTCAGGAGTGTTGGCCACTCCTGCCAGTTTGGTGTCACCTGCAAATCTGCTCAGGGTGCACTCTGTGCCCTCGTCCAAGTCATTGATGAACAAGTTGAACAGCACCGGGCCCAGTACTGACCTTGTGGCACACCACTGACCACAGGCCTCTGACGAGATTTGCCAGTCCTCAGTCCACCTCACTGTCCACTCGTCCAGTCCACACTTCCGGAGCTTTCCTATGAGGATGTTATGGGAGACTGTGTCAAAAGCCTTGCTGAAATCAGGGTAGGACATCCACAGCTCTCCCGTTGTCTATCCAGCAATATCCAGATATCTAACCTTCCTATTTTCCAAGAATAGACTTAAGCTGTTTCTTTTTCAGACTTTGGGAAACTAAATATGTGAGATCAAATAAGAGTATGGAAGATCTACTCACTTTGTCTTTGCAGATGGTCATGGAGCATTAAAATACTTAGTTGATCTCAGAATTTGGATTCTGGTGTCTGCCGTGTGCTCTGGTCCTGTACCAGCTGCCTTAGCTAACCACAACTTTTCTTTATGACCCTAGAAGGCTGTGCCTGCCTCTGCTTTGGTGGACTTTGGTCGTCAGAAAGAGCTGTGGTCACTATGAATGTGTCACTTTGAAGGGCTGCTGAAATCTGACATCTCGCAGATGTTTTCACAAGATCTTGGCAGCATTATAGCAAGCAGCAGTGGGATGGAGGCTGCTTGGCATCAGTGCAGTGTCATCTTAAAACTCTCAACTTGAGTTCACTCTCTATTAGATTCCCCTATAGCAAATGTTAGCACTCCCGTTCTTTGTTCTTTTCCAGGGAAATGTTCTTTCCTATCTCCATTGGTTCAACTTCACTGAAAGTGTCACTGAACTCTCAGAGGATCCAACATCCTCAGCCAAACCTAGTTACGAGCTTAGCTGCAGGTTTACTCTGAGTGTTTTCAGTAGTTTTTCTTTTCTCTGAATATGGATTAATCTTGCTGCAGTAATCAGGAAGAAAGCCTATTGGAAAGGAAGCAAGCAATAGCAGCAAAACAGCTAAATGCAGATTTTAAGCTCACAGCTCTTAAAAGCTGAACATGAAGCAGTCTTTATGCTGCCAAGTATCTGAGGTCACAAAAATGTTGTGAAGATGAAGGTAGTTCCTGAGTACCCGGGTCCAGAGGAAATCTGGTTAGGGGCCTATGAAGTAAAAGTTGTGAAGAAATAAGCAAACATACCTTTGAATTTGTCATCCAAAACTAAATTCAGATCCACTTACCAGAGAAATGATCTTGAGCAGAGGTATGTGGTTGCCAAAGGCTCCAAAGTCACTTCAGAATCAGTGTGGGAAGTATAAAACAGTCATGTGGAAGTGACCTGGCTTTGTAGTGAGGAATTAGCCTGGCCTCAAACCTTCCAAACAGCTTCGGTGAAAGAAGTTTCCTTCCAGCATCATATTCTCTGTTTATAAAAAGAACAAAAGTAGGTTGTTCACATGAGTTGTGTTCACACAACTCAGTTCTGAGTTGCACAGGCAGTACTGTGCAGGCACAGAATTTATTTGGTTCACCTTCAAGTGTCACTGTGAACAAGAAAAGGCAAGGAGTTTGTAGAGAAGTCACTTGGAAGTGAAAAATATCCTAGCAAAAGATGACGAATGCTGTAGCCAACAGGACTAGCATATGAAAATAGCTCTTTGCGTGATAGTGTGTGTTGAAGAAAAATTAGCTAGACTATTGCAAAAGGTATAACTTGAGCACAGTGAAGGTGCGATGCTGTTTACTGGCTTTGGAAGGCAGCATCTTAAAAAATGTGGTGGTCATACTCTAAGCTGCTAGTAAAGGCAGACCATGAGGTTGTATTGCGATCGTGGGCTGTCGATTTACCTGTGAGTATTTGTAAAAGCTTCTTCAAACCTTGTGTATCAAATGTATGAATGGAAGAGACAACAGCCTGGAGGACTGGCAGAGAAGAACGGGGAGGACTGAATGAGAGTGAGGATGCAGGCAAATACTGCGAGATATCTTTGCAGACCAAATTGAGATATGTCTGATGTTTTTTAACTGATTACGTTTTGTTTCAGTTTTGAATTAAGTTCATTTCTCACCTAGAGAGTTTTTTACACTTTTAATATGAATTTTTTATTTCTGTTATTTAAAAAATAGAGTTCTTTTAAGATTCCAGACTGCTTTACATTGTTGAAGTCAACATGATAATTTCCATAGGATCAGATTGCTTTGAATAGATATTAATTTATCTTTAATAGTATAAAACGGTAAATGAATGCTTTTCATATTTGCTCTATAGTTTTTTATTAATTATAACAACAAAATTCACAAGATTTTTTTTTTTCTTCATTCATTGCTGCTTTTTCCAATAGATGTTACGGAAACAGAAGAAAATTCTCAAATAAAACAAGAACCAGACCCAACGTGGTAGACCTCATCAATACTAGGGTAAAGTAACTTACTGCTTGTTGGAAGTCAACACTTGTTAAGGAATATTTTTTTTTAGATTTCAGGGTGGGGAGAATGCCAGAGGATGCCAATGCTTTACCTGACGTATGAATTATTTTATTTGTCTTGCTTCCCATATCAGTAAAATGTAGGATGTTTTAACTGCAACATTCAAATGTAATGTAGAGCATGCTGTGTTATAATTTGTAAGACAGTCAGTCTTAGGAAAATGAATGCTGTAATCCAGCCTATAAATAAAAATGGATGATGGTAATTACATACCTTAGAGGCAGAGTAAATTAAAGCTTAGGGGATTAGTGTTTATGCAGAGCTGTTACATGGTTGTGTGAAAGAATATTTTTGTTTTTAGTAGAGCCTATATATTTCCAACCTGTAACTGTGCAGGAAAGCTCTTCACTAGGATTTTGATGTTGTATAACTTTGGCACACTTGGTAAAATAACAAGCCATGATGAAAAATCAACATGACTTAGAAGTTTTCTTTCTTTTCTATTAACTTCACAAAAAGCTTAGCTTAGCAGCACAAAAATTTGTTTGACTTCTGTTTCTCTTCAATTATTTTTCCTTCCCTCATTGCTATATACGGAGATTTACCTGGGCAAGCTTAGTTTAGAGCTGTAATACAGAGCAGGAAAAAAAAAAAAGGCAATTTTAAGCAGTAACAGATCTGTATTAATTTTTCCAATTCCAATATTCGCCAAAACTCTAAACCAAATATTTTACTCTTTATTTTTTGATACTTTAGTATTTTGATATGATTGACCATATGCATTTGTTTGGTATGCTCAGGCTCTATCTGTCTATATGTAGCAAGACACGAGGGTTGTATTCATCAGAGATAATTCAATGCTACAGTGGTTTGGATTTCCAGCTACTCTAAGCTCTCTGTTACCCAACAAATTTATACCAAAGCAAATATTTGTTTTACATTCTAACAGAGAACATTCCAACACACATTTAATCTCATATTTACTGAGGACAATAGTCACCCTCTAGGTGCTTTCCAAGTGTATGCCCTAAAGAACTCAAAACCTTGTCAAAACCACTATTTGCAACGAGATACTGAGCTGCAATGCAACTAACTAACTTCTGTCATTTTTCTTACCTTGCCAGAAGTATCCAGTCCTGAGAAGACCTTGCTGGGACAGTCTTGAGCTGTGTAATATAACTGTATAAGAGAAGTACCTTCTATACAAACCCTTTTTGTACTTTTAGATAGAAATGTCTACTTTTTCAGCAGTTCTGTGCATTGACTTAAAGAAAGATTGTAGATTTGGAATGGCTGATTTTACTTTGGAATATAT